TCAGCCGTCGTTGTGCTGCCACGCCTCCGGCTGGTAGAGGACGATGTGCAGGTTCTGATCGCCAACTTTTCGCAATCTGCCTCAGTCCCCCATCAACGTGCGTGGCCCCCGGTAACCCTTGCGACGACCAAGCCGGTGTAATGCTCCATGGCGGCAATACAACAAGGTGCACGTGGTTAAGTTGTTTCATTATCCACAGGTCGTCATTCTCCATTGAGAGAGCAGACGGCGCGATGAAATCGTTTCTCCATGCTCCATTTGCGAATCCCCGAAGACGGTAGTCCCAAATTCTTAGATAACTTTGTAGTCCGAATGTGCTTTTCTTGAGGACGCCGCTTTAAACATGTAAAAACCTCCGTCAGCCGTGGCAGTTAAGTGACTATTCGGGGCTTATGACGCGCTTTTATAACTGCCATTGTGATTTTGTAGCACTGCATGCACCTTAGGTCATCATTAAATGCGATATCCTATGTGGGTAGTAAGGAAATGTGCAGCTTGTAAGGAACTGCGTTGAAGGTTGAAGCTTTCCATTAGCACATCTTAAGCGAAGGGAATTAAAAGCAAGTTTGCCAGCCGGCCATTCTTGTGATTTCACTCGCACAGTTTCGTTCATTTCGATGAGACTCTTAGAGAGTGAACCTATTGATGTCCTTCTAGGTTTCATATTCTGTGTCTGTGCGAAACGGAATATTGATTTGTTTCTGAAATTAGGACATTTCTCTTCAACCTCTACGGTTCTTGATTTCAACACTCAAGTGGTAAAAAAATCATTATCGTCAAAGGGTAGCGATAAAATTGGCAACGGTCAATTACGCTTCGCTTAATGGAAGCGTTTTGATCAATTTCCGTCGTATGCGCAGACTGTGTTCTTACGTGCGCTGCATTTGGCATAATGGCCTCCGACAAGGGACAAACAACATTAAATTGCTTCTTGGCACTTACATAGCTCGACTATGAACGGCTTGAGTCAGGCGTGAGAAACGGGGTTTCATTGGTCATACGAATGATTCAGTTCCTACCTATGCTATGTTAAAATAAGGCGATTTATACAAGCAGAAATATAACTCTCCGGTCAGAACCGCTGCTGCCAGAGGATGAGGATATGAGGACATCGAATATAAGATATGGTATGGTTGAGCAAAAACCCTTCACTCAAACCTACGAGCTTCTCGTTGTGTGAACCGAACCACTGCAGACGTCGACGTCGAGGCCAGCGTGCAACATGGGTAGCCAAAGTAGAGTCAGATCTGCTCTTGGAGAGAAATAATTCCTTCTACAATGCTGCAACGGGACTCTGTAAAGCGCAAGTCCTCAAAATCCAGGTTTCGCAATACATCGCATCTTCCGCTTGCTCTCATGTGTTTCGTGGTGCATTTGATGAGATCTCCATAGCGCCATGGTATTACTTTGCTAGCTAGAAACATCTCACGCTCATTACGAACGATGTTTCAGGAGCTGGAAAGTATTTTCGACTACATAGACATGGAATAAACATAAACATAAACATAAACAAAAACACTCAGTCTGTTTGTTAGTCCTTGAAGCGAACAATGGCTTGGTTGTGCTGTATAACTAGTAGAATCGATGAAGAGCTCATTGCGGTCACATTATTAGCTGCAGCATCAGGCCCCCAGCGCCATTCTAAAGTAAAGGGGTTGATATTTTGTCAGTGGGCAGCATCACACCCTAGCACGATGTATTTTTGAATCAGTGAATGGCGAATGATTTGAAAGGACCAGTGAGTATGACAACAATTCATTTCTTGGCCGCATTATTGCCGTCTAAACATGGCATGACACTCTGCTCTATAGAAAAATATGAAAAATTGAAAAGCGGCATTTTGCTCAGGTCTTTTATCTTGCAAGCAAGGGCAGCATCAGAGAAGACGTTGATTTTTCGCATATAGTGGCAGTTGCGGCAAATAAAACTATATTGTGGACGGAAGGGGATATTCTGAGTGCTCTGAGTTCTCTCTGCCTGGTTTCGACTTGTCTGTCTGCCTGTTCGCCCGTCTGTCTGTCTCTTGCCTCTGCGTTGTTTGCAGTTTATCGTACAGCTCTTCGGCGATGCCGAGAAAATACGCGTTTTCTGGTGCTTGTGAAAGGGGCAGTTTTTCTGTCTGCTGTTTGGTGCTTGTGTCTTGCGCAACAACGTCGGAACGGTCGGACCGAGCAGTGTCAATAGAATGTTTCTAACAGTCGCTTCTTTGACCGATACTAGCCAACAGAAAAGTATAACGATCAATGCATGGCTGTCGTGGCGCGTAAGTAAGTGAAATCGATCTTCTAGATTTATTTTCTTCGTCAAGTTCCGGTCGATCTATTTACGGGACATTGAAACATGATTATTCGAACTCCCTTTTCGCACGAGCAAAAGGTACCATAAAAACCAAACAGATGCTGTAAGCATTAATTAGTGCTTCATTTATAGCAATAATATTTTATAATATGCCGCTTGATTAAAACTGCTTGAACGGATCATAAAATTTCAACAATAGAGTGAAAACAATAAACTGCATATTAAATTGCCACTAATAAGCCTAAGTTTTCGCAACATCTGAACTAATGCATAAATAAATACTTCTTCAGGTTCCTGATTCTGCACCCATAGTCATATACATGGTTGTTTCAGTGATCCATGGTTCGGGGCACCAAATACACATAGTAAAGAGTTTAATGCCATCGGGTTTCGCTGCACAGACCGCGACATCATCAGGGCTGGACTGAGTACAATTGTCTGCTTGAAAAAATTTATGTCCAACAAGAGAACAATGCCAATTTTTCAACTGGTTTATCACGCACTCAAACCATTGTTATGTTGCCAGAACAGAGTGTAATGTCAAATCAAAATAAATCGGATTTTTGGCATTTTGACCTGGTTTTTGCGCATCAATTTTGCTATCGTCTCCCGGCTTCCGGTAATAACCACGAAACATGTGCATTCATTGCGCATCCGGTTTTTCATTGCCAGTATATGCAAGGACTCCTTTATCAGCAGACCTAATTTAGATTGGTCTCTGACCATGACAGACACACTGATGTGACTGAAAGAATGTCCTTCAGCAATCACATGTTCGGCAATACAAGAATTGTCAGCTTGTCCAAGGGGGTGGCAGTAAGGTGCTCTTTTATAAGGATATTTATATTCCGATTGGTTATTGCAAAGTACACCTTGTCGCATTCTCTGCACTGGACTCATAGACAACATTTATGAGGGCTATTGACGGGCATGTACTTCTTATATATAATGCTGCCCAATGTTCTGCCAATCTTGTAGTAGACTGTAAACCCCGTGTCATTAAAGTACCTCGTGATACGCAAAGGTACCGGCATTAAGGTACCGGCATGAACGGTAAAATTATCATTGGTCCATATGAACTGGTCAACTTTAAATTAGAGCTGGGCAGCAGAAGTCCTTCGTCAAGGATTCTGCTTCGGTAACCGTTCTTTAGAAACGCGTGATGAAGATGCTGGATTTCTGCGTTTAGGCCAGAACTGTTAGTGGAAATCTGTTGGGTTCGCAAGCGCTTGTTTTTCACCACGTTTCAGTATAATGCGCGAAGGACACATGACGCCGGGTGTAGGTGTCGATTAGAATGTGGTGGTTTCCGATGTACGAAAACGTTTGGAGTGCTCTTCACAAACACCTGTTGGTTTCCGATGGGCTCCCTGATGAGTGTTGCTATAGCTGGTCGTTATGTGGACCACTTGGAGGTGAAAGCCCTAAAGACATGCCAGCCAGAATTCCGACAATTTCGAATTCTGTGTCCGATTCGTTGGTGACATTTTCCTGTTATTCGAACGAAACGAGGACGAACGGGAAATGTTCATGAATTACATGAATGCAAAGGACAAAATGGCCGCATACGCTTTACCCCTGAAGTGGAAGCTAACCACTCCATATCCTTTCTCGACCTGTTGATGAAGAGCACTCCAAATGTCTGTTGACCTTGTGAGTCTACTTCGTTATCGTGAACATCCACCTGAACCAGAGACATTGTGATGACTTAATCTAGACGATGATTCATATAAAATTATTAATCACGGAATGAACTACTCTCTCATACTCGAAAATTCTCGTCCATCTTCGAGGATCTCGATTTATCCATCTTTGTAGCCGTTGTTGATTTCAAATGTCGGTCACGTTAGTTTCAAGAGGTGTTTCCAGTGGTCTTCGTCGTTCCAAAAATCGATTAAGTTCCGTTGGTTGGAATGTAAGATTTGACAAAACCAAGTGTTCAAATATTCGCTCTTAAACTAATTCAATTTATGCCACAGACCATGATGTAATGGTCCTTTTTAAACCTAGTAACCAGCCAGAGAATACAGTGGAAGCTCTCGAGTCTAATCGCTGGTCATAAAAGATGCTCTCCATGCGGAAAGACTTGCGACCTTCTGTTAGTTTATTGAAATGTGTTTTCCTCATCATCTGCTGATTACATTTGCTGTTCCGGCCAGACCCGAGGTTGCATTTAATCAACGTCGGACAGTAATCAATAAAATACGGTACTAATGAAAACTTTGCTGATATGGTCAACACATCAATAGAACCTGCTTGCATCTTAGCTCCTTTATTAGTTCTTGAACGAGTCATTTTTCGATATCACGTGACCGCCATAAACCTACCTTTGCGCTCGCGGTATTGTTCAACTCCGAGGAAGTAGGGAAACGCGGACATGATCAAACATGGAGGAACATCTTTGACTGGTTGAGTGCCGAGTCAGCGCTCACAAGTCGTTGATTCTGTCGTAGTCAGAAAACGAGTTAAGTCCGGAGAAAGCAGATGAGAAGGATACAGAGGCTACAAGAAGCGACATTTATTCGTATAATTCTGACATTTGCTCAGCGTAATGATGGTTATGGGCGTAACGTCAGATATCAGTACAGATAACACTTCAGGAGGCAGAGGATCAACTGTTGAATGTTATCACAATAGCATGGCAGCCGCATCTTATAGATTTTTAACGATTTATCATTTTCAGATATGCCATATTGCTCGTTTAAGGTATGTATAGCTCATCTATAGCTTAGCAGCGAGAAAGTATGGCTTTTAACTTCCTCTGACTATTTCACAACGTATGCGCATGCTGAGTTACCTCATGTCTATATGAAGTCGTTCAGTCGCTATGAGGACCAGCTTGGTAAACAGAAACAATGAATAAGGAATAAAGAATGATTTGTTATTCAAATTACTTCAGTGTATATGTTGATGACTGACGTAAAGTATTTGTCGTCACCAGCTTATGAAGTGTCTGCCTCTGCTTTTGGAAGTGATGTGTACAGCAATCATGTTTGCGAACAAAGTCTGAAGAGATCTGTTGTTGTAGTTCACCATGGAAATGCGCTTTCCCTTTGTTATGCTACACTGTTTTCCACCCTCTTGCATGAAAAACGGCGGACTCAGGTGAGGACAAAAATCTGATTTTAGAGGGAAGGCGCAGTTCAAGATATTCGGCTAGTTTTCTGGTTGATCTGCAGTACGTAGATGATAGTGACTCGGTGAGCAGTACAGGCAGCAGGCTCTGTCATCTGACGTCTTCCATATGCACATCACCGGCCTCTTCCGTAAAGCCGGGAAATGAAAAACTATGACCACCCATATGGCGACTCTACATATTTATAAGTAGCTAGACCACATCATCTGCAGAGACGTGCTATCCAGTCAGAGTTAAGTAGAAGGGTCCCTTTTACCTCCAGTGCTTTTGATATTCAGATCAGTATCTAGGAAGTCGGCAGGTGTCGCTACCATGAAACTTTGTCATGCTTCGTTCAGACCAGTAAGACCATTAGACATGTAAAGCGTGGTTTTGAGTGAGAATCAAGAACGGCAGCTGAATATCGTAGCATCTC